AGGCTTATTTGGGAAAAAAAGTGCTTTTGGGAAGAAGCAGAAGCAGTTTTAGAGAAGCAGAAAAAAGTAGTTTCTTTCCAAAAGCAGAAGCAGAAGCAGAAGCAGTTTTGACTTTTCTTCTTACCTAAAATACCCTTAACAAAATATAGTATATACCAAAATAACCCTTAAACATAATACTTAGGATATTAATTTATAAATATTTCTTCTTATTTTTAGGAAACTTTCTAATATATAGTGTCTTTAGGGGTGAATGCTTTTATATTTGTTGAAGAAATTTTAATATATTTAACTTATATTAAAAGAATTAAGTACTTTTTAATTTTATTTTCATATTTTACTTAAATAAAATGATTTTTTTAATTAATGCATGTAATAACAAAATTTTGATATTATTTATTTACTTATAATATTAATTATTAAGTAAATTTATTCATGTTCTTATTCGTAATTTGACACTTAAAAGCACTTTCTAAAAAGCTTGGCCAAACACAAATTATTTTTCAAAAGTGCTTTTCAAACTAATTAGCCAAACACAATTCTGTCCAAAAGTACTTTTTTCAAAAGCACTTTTTTCAAAAGTACTTCTCAAAATAAGTTGATTTCTCCGGCTTGGCCAAACAGGCTATAAATTGGTCAGGAAGGTATACCACCAGGAATATGAAACAAGGTTAAATAGTAGAAAGCATTAACAGAGAAACAAAGACCGAGTTATTTAGGGCAGATCTCTGTATGCATCTAAAAGCTTCTCAAATATTCAACAAGATACCATCAGCTACCGAATAAGGAATTGTCCTTAGAACTTCTAAGTTGGCAATCGTCAGGCCATGAATACTATAACCGACTAGCCAATCTATCTAGAACTAGAATAGCTCCGTCTACATTTATAACTATACCAAATGAATTGATCGTGTTAATTTTCATCCAAAAAAAACTTAAAACTTGTAGTGAGTATCAAATTCGTGAAAGAATCATCAAAAAATGGGAGCACTAACTAAGGCATCCAGGAGCTGAAGATAGGACGATTAGATCTCCTTTGACTGCTTGGTTAGAGCCACCATTCATCACGTTTAATAGGAGTTAGTAAGGGCCAAATTCAGTAAATTTATCAGGTTTAATAGGAGTTAGTAAGGTTGAGAAACAATAAATTACAGGAAGTAATCACATGAAGTTCTATAATAAAGAACCACTGAACTAGGTAAGGAGAGACTCCACCCAATCAACTAAAGAGGACTAGGTAACGAGAGACTCCACTTAATCAACTAAAGAATCAGAAATGGCCAGTGAATGTGGTAATATTTATCTCACCCATAGCCAACCACATAAAACAGGCATTAGACATAGGCCACTATAGAACAGATCAGCTACGCCAGCCTAACCTCCATGGTCTCAAGCACTAGTCACTCACTATGGTCTCAGCACGTATCGCCCTTGAACACCGCCACTCACTATGGTCTCCCACTAGTCACTAGAAATCATATCCTATATTCCAAACTGCCCAAGTCTTGCTGGAAAAAACAATTAAATGTCAAAAGTAATTGATCAAAGAGAAATCAAGTTTGACACCCTTCTGCCCTCCTCCATAACAGTTCCATCATTTTTTTTTTTAATCTTTTGATAAGTAACAGGTCCATGACTAATTTAACCAAAGCTCAGGTTGGAAGATGTACCAAGTTGGTGTACATGATAAGCTTCAGTAATAAAGCACTACAGTGATGTTCTAGAATTTCTTCTTTTTTTCTTTTTGTAGTACGCGCGTGTTTCCCGTCTCAATGAGTATTTTTTTATAAGAAAATTATATTTTTTAAAATATTTCAAGCTTTAACAATACAGATTTAGGCTTGTGCTGTTTAGTATGATTAGATATGCTATTAAATGTTTTGGGCGCTTAATTGAACATGAATTAATTATTTTGTATGATTAAAATAAGAATTTTAAAAATATACATTTAGTTATTTTGAATTGAAACAATTTTAATTTAGACGTTGAAGGCACGTATAAACCGTCGCCATCTTGATTTTATGAGTGTGGCACAAAGGTTTTATCTTCAATTAGTATAATCTATATAAAGTAAAATGTTAATCGATTTTAAATTACTAAATATTAGGATTTCTTACCCAGTTTAATAATGAAAGATTTAAAATGTAAAAGTTTAATTAATACAAAGTCATAGATATTAGAAAAGCAACTTAAATTACAACTTTGTCCATTGTGAAAGTTATACCTCGTCTCAATGAGTAATTATTTACATAAAATTTATGTTTCAATTATTAAAAAATGTATAAGCTCCTGAAATTGATGAATGTTGATTTTATATAGCTAACTCCGTTCGAAGAAACTCTATCTCGTAAAATCTTCAATTATCATTAATATATTCACCTCAAAATTTGTTCCAACTTCATAATACTATCAATTCAGTTTCACAAATTAGTATACTTCCTTTTTAGTTTCAACATAATATACAACCTTGAAGTTTTAAGATTTTTCCCAATAGTCCTACGCAGTGTTATTAAAAGCGCTCGCTTCTCGCTTTAAGCGCTGAAGCGAGGCGAGGCGCAGGGCTATCGCTATTGTAGCAGAAAAGCGACTCACAACTAAAAAGCACTCGCTTCTTCCACTTAAGCGAGAAGCGCCTCGATGGAAAAGCGATAAAAAAGCGTGCTTAAGCGAGCAGAAGGCATTTGCTAAGGTTTTTTAGAATTGTTTTTGGAAAATCAGCCATCTGTTAACAAATAAACATACGCTCTTCAACGACTTCTTCTCCAGCGAACTCCAGCGACGACAAAGTCTCCCGTTCTCGATAAGTTTCTTCAACGACTTCTTCTTCTTCTTCTTCTTCTTCTTCTTCTTCTTCTTCTTCTTCTTCTTCTTCTTCTTCTTCTTCTCTTCTTCTTTCAATTTTTTTCACTTTTTAAGCGCTGATTTTGTGCCCTAAACGACTTCTTCTTTTGTTCTACTTTGTGCTCTGTTTTATGCTTTATGCTCTGTTTTCTGCTTTATCATCTGCTTTATGCTCTGTTTTCTGGTTTGCGTGAATTAACTGTCATGTTTTTTTTTTGGTTGTTGATTGTAGTAAATTTAATTTGCTTAATATGTTATTTTTAATGAGTTCTTAGCCATTTATCTATGCCTATTTTTTTTATTTATGTGTTAAATTGCGCTTCACATGAAAAAAACACGCGCTTCGCTTCGCGCTTCTCGCTTCGGTGAAGCGAGGCCTCGTCGCTTTTTTGCGCTTAACGTTTTCCAAAACACTGGTCCTACGTTTTAAGTATAAGACATAAGAAAATACTTTGATAAAATTTGTCGCTAGATATATTAACTTTAATATTATTTAAAACTTCAAGAAAAAATTATAGTTGACGAACAAAGAAAATTAATTAGCGTATTTACTTTTGAGTTAGAACTTATGTGTGCCTATTTTTTAGTAGCTTTAAAGTAGTGCAAATATGACTAAAAAATGATGCAAATATGAGTTCTTAATTTTTAACGTTTTGATAATAAAAAAATCTTATAGTTTAATTCTACTTTAATACTAACTGGCTTTAAATAAGGACATTTATAAATGGTAAAATTTAATTGATTTTGAAGTCTAAATATTATGATTTCTTACAAAGTTTAAATAAGAAAAAAAGTTAATGTTCAAAATTTTAGCAGATTTAAAATTCTAAATATTAGAATAATAATTAAATAATAATTTTATCCAATGCGAAATCTGCTGACTTTATTATTAAAAAATTAAGATAAAATTATATTAATAATTCGATATTCCTTTTAATTTTGTCAAACATACTGAGTATTTTTACTTTTAAGTTATAGCTTATGTGTGCCTATCTTTTTGTAGCTTCAAAGCAGAGCAAATCTGATGGAAAAAGAATAGTGACATTTTGAACAATAAAAGAATCGTATAATTCAATTCAAACTTTAATATATACGGGATCTAAATAGGGAAATTTATATAAAGTAAAATTTTAGTTAATTTTAAAGTCTGAAATTAATATTATATTTTTCTACACAGTTTAAGTAAAAAAATATTTAATAACCAAATTTTTAGTTGATAGTACCTATAAGACATAAATATATTCCAAATAGCTAAAAGGTTGAACTCAGAGACCGATTTGAATGAGCAGCAAGGATTCACGTTACATAAATATTAGAGAGTCCTAAATATTGTATAATTTTTTCCACGAAATATAGGATAGTTAAGGTTATATATTATAATTATGATATATAATTCAACTAAGGAAAAAATATATAAGGTATGTTTAGTTGATTTTCAATTCCTAAATCTTAGGATTTCCTATAAACAAGGAAAGAAATTCTAGTTGTTTTTAAAGTCCTTAAGCAAATCTGATAGAAAAAGAATAGTGACATTTTGAACAATAAAATAATCTTATAATTCAATTCAAACTTTAATATTGACGGGATCTAAATAGGGAAATTTATATGAACTGAAATTTTAGTTAATTTTACAGTCTGAAATTAATATTATGTTTTTCTACATAGTTTTAAATAAAAAATATTTAATAACCAAATTTTTAGTTGATAGTGCCTATAAGACATAAATATATTCCAAATAACTAAGTTGAACTCAGAGTCCTATTTGAATGAGCCGCAAGGATTCACGTTACATTAAATATTAGAGAGTCCTAAGAATTGTATAATTTTATTCACGTAATATAGGATAGTTAAGATTGTATATTATAGTTATGATATATAATTCAACTAAGGGAAAAATATATAAGGTAAGTTTAGTTGATTTTCACGTCCTAAATATTAGGATTTTCTATAAACAAGGAAAGAAATTCTAGATGTTTTTAAAGTCCTTAATATAGGAAAAAATAATTAAATTACAATTTGTCAAGTGTAAAATTTATTTTTAAATTCATTTTTAAAGGGTAAGAAAGAAGAACGATATTTCGCTAAGGGGCTTCGTACTTTTAATATAGTATAAATATAGATAGAGACCAAAATAATTTAGTCAAAAATAATTGAAGCACATTACAACACTACTATCCTTCTTCGACTAAAGACGGGCAGAAAACAAAGTTGTATATGAATTTTCTGTCACAGATAGAACATATATTATTGTTGATGTTAAGGAGGACTGCTGAACATTGATGCTAAAATGTCTTTCAGCCTGGAAGATGTCTCAACTGCTCCTTCATTCTCAAGCAAACAGATTCCTTATTAACATTTCTTTTTTACTGTTTACATATTTTTATCAGTAAGGTTCTACACAATATTTTAACATGTTTCTAATAAGATATCACATATACACACCTCTCCATGCAGTGGTTCCCCAAGCACACTAGGATATGTAATTGGTGAATATCTCATGTTAGCAACTGCTTCACCGGACGAACTTGCAGTGGCTTGAGGCAGAAGTCGAGGGGTCCCAAATGTAGGGCAGTAAAGGTGTTGATCCAACATTTGCATATGCATAGCCATCATATCTCGCCTCCGATGGATCTCCAAAATGAGAGTGAACAGAGCTTCATCATCTGGTATGTTTTCTAAAAACTGCAACCCACTGCGGAGAAGTTCATAAAATGGTATGTGGCCTTTATCATTCTCTACCAGCAACCAAATAACATCTAAACAGCTGTGTAGCCACTCAATTAGGGCCTTATCTGGTTTCCAATATTTCGCACCATCAAATTCATCAACACCATGTAACTTTTGGTCCCAATTAATCAACCAGTTGCTGAATTTTCCAATTAGTCTGGGGGTATTCCTGTAATTTCATTAATTTACAGCTCAACCTTACAATTGCTGACTCTTTCTGCGGTCGCTGAACACGTGGACTCCCAATTCCTCAAAGGTAAAAACTCATTCAACGGAACTTGTTACAAGCATCCACTTCCAAGTTGAGCATCTATTGCCCCAAAATCCAGCAGACCTCACTTGCTAATTCAACGAATTTAGAGAAGTTAGCCTTTTTCGATTCACATATACCACAAAGAGCAGGTTTATTCCAATCACTCCAGCATTTCATTTTATTTATGCTTTCTGTTCTACTTTTTCTTCTTCTGCAAAAAGATCAGATCTTTGTGGTTTTGGCTTGATTAGCAATATTTTCTTCAGTTTGGTCTTAAGATCCGTTTTAGAAAGCTGAAAACAAACTGAGGTTGAGTTCTGATTTGTTCTTTGTTTTTATTAATTTGTTTTGGATTTTTTATGTGAATTCTAAGTTGTCTTCATTTTTTTCGTGATGTTCTACTTTCTTTAAATCTTTAAAAGTTTTTGGGACCATGGGAGTAAAATTAAAAATGGGACCCAAATAACTATTATAACAATAGAAATAATGAGATTGAATCCATGTCCGTTATAACGAGACCCAAAAAGAGGAAGGAGTGCAGTAGAAGAAGAGTAGCGGAAGTTGCCATTGCCATATCCTCGATCCCCACAGACCCCTTCTCTCAAATCACAGAGATAAGTACTATTTTTATAATTCTGCAGATTCAGATTCAGAAAAATAAATAAAGAAAATAAATAAACAAACGAATACAAAGCAAAGTCAAAGCGTCATTCAGATTCAGATGGTGTGATTTGAAGACCATTCAATAGTTCTCTTTCTTCAATCTTAGGTAATGAAAATCCTACAGTGTTTTTATAAAATAATTTTCTTAGTTTCTTTTATTTTGCATTACCGTTCTTTATTTATTATATTTAGATTTTACAGGTTTTTGGATTAGTGAAATTGAGTATAATGTTATGTAGATTTTGGTTATGTTAATTAGTATGACTGTCAATGTCAAATACTTAGCTGATCAGGTTTAAGCTATTTGGTGAGATTCATAGTTAATGCTTCTGTGTAACTGTGGGCTAATTAGTGACACCATTGTTTAGGTTATACATTTAGATGAATCTTTATTGTATTTAGATTTTACAGGTTTTTGGATTAGTGAAATTGAGTATAATGTTATGTAGATTTTGGTTATGTTAATTAGTATGACTGCCATTGTCAAATACTTAGCTGATCAAGTTTAAGCTATTTGGTGAGATTCATAGTTAATGTTTCTGTATAACCGTGGGCTAATTAATGACACCATTGTTTAGGTTATAGATTTAGATGAATTGGTGATTTAGGAAGAGAAGGGTGATACAGTAATTCTTTTTTTATTTATAAAAGGCTGGTCTTTAAAAGACTTAACCCGACGGGTTATTACATTCTATTATTTATTAGTAGAATGAACAATAAAATTTGTTACTTAGGGTTTGTTGATGCCTTTTTTGGTTTGAATGTTCTAAATGCAGTTCTTTTGCGGTACCAAGCTTGTGAAAAAAATGTATCCCGGGCGAAGAAACAAACGACCATATGAACTCTGACAAGAATGTCAGAAGACGTGATATTTATGGGCAAATATCGCCCGATAAAAAAAAGGCAATGTTACTACAACGCCGCACCAAAGAACTTAAGCGGCAAAAATGGAATAGTTCCATAAAATCAATAGTTGATCCAGATGAAAGAGTAATGTATCAATGTCACCCTATGATTCGAAAAGATAGTGTTGTTACCATACGAGAGACTTCTTTTGCTGATGACGAAGGTTAGACTGAACTATTGCGTTTTATTTACGTTATGTTAGTGTAGCAACAGACAGATAAATATTCATAATTTATTAAGTAACTATTTTATACACAGAGTAGGATATCACATGTTTACTTGCATATATTAAATGTAAAATGTGTTTCATATTTGTCGCAATTGGCAACAAGCATGATGTTAATACTTCCTCAAGTTCTTTGGATAAAGGAAAAAATATCGCTCATGCGTTTTCTGTATTTGAAAGAGGTAAAGCTAGAACGTCTATGAACATATTTTTTAGAACGTCACGGCTTAGGCGTACATCTAAATTGTGACAATTTGTGCCCCAGGATCAACATCACATATATCTAAGGGACAACAAAATGTCTTCCCTATTTCCACACGCAAAGGTTAGTATTTCTTTTACGCTAGAGTAACACTATTCATTAGTAGAATATTTTCCATCTCTTTATTTTTAACAATACTTATAACATACAGGTTGTACCTTGACCAAAGTAATCCATAAGAAAAATAATGACAAAGATACAGATTATGTACGATTAAAACCTGTTCCAAACTGTAAATTTTGCAATGCAAAAAGGTTTCAATATGAACCTCCTGGATTTTGTTGTGGCAGCGGGTCAGTTAAGTTAGTTTCATATGAACTGCCTAATGAATTATCAGATTTGTATAAAGGCAACACTGAAGAAGCTAAGCACTTTCGAACCTACATTAGAACATACAACAATATGTTTGCCTTTACGTCACTTGGTGTAACCAACGATAAAGTTTTGGCGAGGAGATATCATGGTATATATACCTTTCGAGTTCAAGGACAAATATATCATTTTACACCTGATTTACTTCCTTCTGATAAAAAAGGAAAGAATATGCAGTTATACTTTTATGATAATGAAAATGAACTGGTTAACAGAATAGCTTGTTCAAGAAATATCAACGAATCAATTGTAAAGAAACTTATGCATGTGCTATCAATTAATCCATATTCTATTTTTTTAAAATTCTTGACAAATGTCCCGAAACTGTCCGACTGCTATATCGCGCTTAAATGTGAACCAAAGTCAGATCAACGTGTATATAATCTACCAACTACAATAGAGGTGGCTGGAATATGGGTACATGATAATGCTGCCGATACTGTTTCTACCCCTCATATTTGTATATACACACATAGTGACAAGATTCAGTCAGTAAAGTATTATTATGGATGTTATGACCCATTACAATACCCGTTGTTATTTTCATACGGTCAAAACGGATGGCATTGTGGTATTAAAAAAATCACGCGAAGAGATTAACGTTATTGTAAACATGAAGAATTACCGAATGTAAAAAATATATGTTCCATTGATGGATTTCTTGATATGGAAGCTCAAATTATGGAAAAAGGAAAACGGAAAAGAGAGACAGTTTCTTGCCATGAGTATTATTGTTACAAATTTCAGATAAGAGAGGATGACAAAAATGAAGTCCTACATTGTGCAAGATTATTTCAACAATTCATAGTAGATGTGTTCATAAAGCTAGAAACACAAAGATTAGATTTTTATTTTTTTAATCAAGATTTGTTTTGAATAGATATGCTACAAGGACTTGTTGATTTTTTAAGACTTGGGGAAACAGAAGCTTCCAAGATTAGGAAGAAAACATTCCTCCCTGTTACTTTTATAGGAGGGTCAAGAGATATGCGTCGACGGTATATGGATGCTATTGCATTAGTGCAACATTTTGGGAAACCTGATATTTTTTTAACTATGACATGCAATCCGTCTTGGCCAGAAATAAACAACACTTGTTATCAATGGATGAAACTCAAAATAGACCTGATTTAGTATCACGAGTATTCAGAGCAAAAGTAGAAGAATTAAAGGCAGATATCTTAAAAAGAAAAATCTTTGGAAAAGTTGCTGCTTTTATGTATACTATAGAATTTCAAAAACGTGGTCTTCCACATACTCATTTTCTTATCATACTTAGTGATGAATACAAATTATTAACCCCTGAGTCTTATGATAAGTTTGTTTGCGCTGAGTTGCCTGATCGTAATACCAAAGAGCACCTTTACTCACGCGTGCTTTAGCATATGATGCACGGACCGTGTGGTGATTTAAATCCTACAAATTCATGTATGGTAAAAAGAGGGCTTTGTAAATTTGATTATCCAAAAGATTTTGCTGAGCAAACATCAAAAGGTAAGAATTCGTATCTAATTTATAGAAGACGAAACACAGGCGAACTTGTACATATAAGGGAACAATATCTGGACAATTCATGGGTTGTCCCATACAACCCTTACTTACTTTGTAAGTTTGATTGTCATATGAATATTGAAGTTTGTTCTGATATTAAAGTTGTAAAATATATTTACAAATACATTTGCAAAGGACATGATAAAATTGCCTTTTCTATACATAACAATGAAGAAATAGATGAAATAAAAGAATATCGATCTGCTAGATGGGTAACACCCCCTGAAGCGGCATGGCGTTTATTTGGTTTTCTTATTAATGAAATGACTCCGAGTGTTTATCATCTTCAATTACATTTAGAAGGGCAACAATTTGTTTCCTTTAAAAGTAGTGAAATTGTTAATAGAATTCTAAATAATCCGATGATTAGAAAAACAATGTTGACAGAATTTTTTGTTATGAATGCAACTGATGAACATGCTATAGCTATGCAATTACTGTATAAGGAATTCCCAGAACATTTTGTATGGTCTCCAGGATATAGAACGTGGACGTCGCAAAAAATGTAACATAATCAGACGTGTTGTAACATGTCATCCAACAGAAGGAGAGAGGTATTATCTCAGGTTATTATTGATGAATGTGAGAGGACCTAAATCATATGAAGATCTTCGCACCGTTAACGAGGTACCCTGTGGTACATTTAGAGAATCAACAGAAAAAAGAGAATTATTATACTGTAACAACAGTTTAATTGAATGTATGTCGGAGGCTGTAAGCTATCAAATGCCATATAGCTTGAGACGTTTATTTGCGACATTGTTAGTATATTGCAATCCTTCTAATCCAAAAATATTATGGTAAATGTTTGAAGATTCAATGTCCGAAAACTTTAAACATTTCTCTGTTTTTCAAGGAAAAACCGTTCGGCACAAGGTTTTAAGCCATATCAATGATATCTTATACTCTATGGGACACGACATAAATGAGTATAAGCTTATCCCAGAGAATATTAGACCTTCTGAAATTGCAAAGGATGCAAAGGATGTTCATTTTGAAAGAAATATTATTGTTAGTGAAAAAGACTTGCTCTTACCGAAGAGATTGAATGTTCAACAATTACATGCATATAATACAATAATTAATAGAGTATTTTCTGGAAAACAAGGAGCTTTTTTCATCGATGGTCCTGGAGTAACAGGTAAAACATTTTTGTACCGTGCATTATTGGCAACTATCTGGTTCCAAGGATTTATAGCTTTAGCAACTGCAACTTCTGGTGTAGCAGCTTCTATCCTTCCAGGAGGACGGACTGCTCACTCCCGGTTCGAAATGCCTATTGATATAGATGATAATTTTTGCTGCAACATTAGTAAACAAAGTTCCGTCGCACGTTTAATTAGAGATGCAAAATTAATTGTACGGGATGAGGCATCAATGGCAAAAAAGAATATGATTGAAGCTCTTGATGCAGTTCTAAGAGATATTATGAACGTCGATACAATGTTCGGTGGTAAAGTTGTTGTATTTGGAGGTGACTTTAGACAAACTCTACCAGTTGTTCGAAATGGGAAAAAAGAAGATTTTATTCACGAAAGCTTATTGTATTCTGAAATTTGGAATAAACTTGAAAAATTATGCTTATCTGAAAATATGCGCGCAAGAATAGATCCTTCTTTTTGTGAATATTTACTCTGAATTGGAAATGGAACAGAAATAACTATCTGTGAAGAAAAAATAGAGATTCTTGATTCCTTTGTTATTCCTTTTACGACCGAAGAAGAATTCTTAGATGCATTGTTTAGTGTAACATATCCTGATTTGCATGCATTTTTTCCTGATTCATCTATGATAGCATCTCGTGTTATTTTAACAACGAAGAATGACTTTGTCAACGAACTAAATAATATGTTAATCACTAAATTCCCAGAAATGTCTAAAACATTTGTTGCAGTAGATGAAACTATTGAACCGAGTGATCAAAGTCAGTTTGAAGATTTTCTACATAGTTTAGATCCTCCCGGTTTACCGCCTTATAAGTTAACTTTAAAGGAAAATTGTCTAGTTATATTATTACGAAATCTGAATCCTTGCAAAGGTTTATGCAACGGCACACGGTTGACATGCTGTCACTTTAAAACACATGTTATAAGTGCTAAAATTGAAAGTGGTGATTTAAAAAATACATATATATTTATTCCGAGAATACCATTGCTAACATCACAAGATGAAAAAATACCTGTTCAATTTAAGAGAACACAATTTCCCCTACGAATGTGCTTTGCTATGACCATAAACAAAGCTCAAGGTCAAACATTAGATTTTGTTGGAATTTACTTACGTGAACCTGTTTTTTCTCATGGTCAACTTTACGTTGCTTTATCAAGAGCCAAAAGTTCAAACTGTGTTAAAATACTGATTCGACCATCAACAACAGACAGTAATGATGATCATTCAACATATAATGTCGTTTACGACGAAATTATTCAGAAAGCTTTCTCGTAGGAAACCTAATGATCTTTAGCTCAACAATAAAAAAAACCAAGTTTTTAACTCTGCCTGTGTTTCAGTGACACTACTGCACCACAGCCGGTCCCAAGCCGGAAAAAGGAGGAGAGTTTACTGTCTATTTATGCTTTGCAATTCTAAAATGCAGGATGATTAGTGAAGCAACATACGTTGGATCTTCCAAAACCAATAAGGTATATCTGTTTCAAGGTTCTTCTGGCTTACTTTATTACAATTCTTTTCCCCATTCTATGAGCCTTTAGTCGCAGTTATTTCTTTTATGATGCTATGTTTAGCCAACAAAATTTTTGAGTTGAACCAAGTAGGTTGCACGTGAGGCATCTTCTCGCCAGCAAATCAATTATTTGGGCATGACGCATACATAACAACCACCAAACATGTTATAAGGTCGGCAGGCTCAACTATTATTTCCTGTTTCATATCTTGCATCAGAAATATTTAATGTGGATTATCTAGAGCTCAAATGCGATATTGGTTGTTTTGAGTATAATGAATCGTTTATGTTTCTCTTCAAAATTCAATCTTTGAATTTAAATCTACTAGATATGAACTTATGAAGGTATCAATTTCATGTTAAAACTTGCTCTATACTTCTAATCATTCCCTCACTGTTTTTATAAATTAACTAGCTTTTATTTTGCGCTAATAATTGTTTTTTTACCAAGTTTATTTTTTGCTATTTGAGGAATAATAATATAGTGAAAGTGAAGAGTAATTAAGCGCTTACCCTTTGTCATCGACTCTTTCCCTTTCTATTCCTGGTTACCACCTTT